ATATATTAATATAATATTATTAAAAAATTTACAATTGATGCAAATAAATATAAAAAATAACACTTTATTATTATGTCCAATTGGACATTTGGCTAAAATTATCTGGACATTGTCCAATTGGACAAAATTTCCAACACTGATTATAATTGATAAAATGTTTATTGTTGTTATTAGTAATAATCATTAAAAATTTTTCAATAAAGAATTCAACATATTTTTTTTTATTTTCAAACGCCTTTGTTTTTAACACTGCTACAACAATAAATCTATTTTTAAACAATGGCATTTATTTTAACATCTATTTTAACATCTATTGTATATATAAAAATTGTGCGCAGCACAAATGTTTATACAGGTGTTGCATATAGCAGAGTAGATGAAGAATTTGTAAAGTTGCATTTTAAGGTGTTTCGACAGAACTTTTGAAGAAATGACTAAGGAAGATTCCATTATGATGATGGTTGGAAGATTTCTTAATGTTGGATCTGAATTATTTGTAATCATTTATTATTATTTTGATAAATAAATGATGAAAGATTTAAAAATGTAACAAATGATTTTTTTTTTGTGTAGGTAACTGTCATTCAAGCAATAAACTTGGACCTAAAAACTTTGAATGAGGAGCTCAACCTCTGTTTGGTACTTTTTCTTCTCCTTGTAAAGAAAAGGCCAAGCCAAAGGGCGAACTAGATCAAAACTTCTTCATAATGGAAAGGAACACCTACAATTCGTTCACCAGCACATCCAACAAAATAATGATCCCATGTACATATACTGTCTCAAATGGCAGACATTCGGCAACAAACTCATCAGTGGTCTTTTCAGTAGGTGATCTGTTCGTGGGAAGGAACATCATGCAAACCATCTGTAGTGAAATTGATTGGTCTTATCCCAAAGCAAATCACCAACAACAACTAGACTCAAAAGAAAGAATGATAATTTGAGAAGCAGATCATTGGCAAAAAATCTCATGAGTCATCACTGATAAACACATTAGCAACATCATCAAACTTATCATCATCAAGTAAGAGATCATGAAAGCCAAGCAACAAGGAAGAAGTGACAATCAAGAAAATGTGCTCTGATGCTTCCTTGAATATGTCAAGACCAGAGATGTTGGCAAATGCAATAAAGCAAGTTAATAATAACAAGGGTAAAGCACCAATGTGCTATTATCAAGACAACAAAGATCTTGTGTTTGAGAACCAAGAGGATGAAGTTGAAGTTCAAGATATAATGACAGTGATAATGACACTATTTAAACTACAAAAATATTAATTTTATATTATTTTTAAAGCATTTTAAATTTTAAATATTTTAAACTCATTGTTTGAATGAACAATTTATTTGATTGTTGTTGAAAATATAAAAATTATTAATTTTTGTGAATTAGCATATTTTTATTTTGTCTTTTATTTGTGAAATAAATCAGTCTAAATAAATTTTATTGATTGCAAGCCAAAAATACATGATTACAAATTGAAAAAATTATGTGAATTAATTAATTAATACATATGCTCAGAAATTTTAATCTTGTTTTATATGTAAAGATTGTCCTTGGATTAGATACTAAAAAAAATTTTTATTGAAAAATCACAACAGGATGCAACTTATTCCAATTTTTTTAAAGTATGAATCAACAATTCACTTAACATCACTTAACATCACTCTTGAGACATTATCTATCGAAGAAACTCGAATTTTTTTCTGTGGAGATGCATCAACAATATAATCATCTGCATGCTGAGTGCCACCACATTTAAAAAATTTTTTTAATTTCAATGAAGACTCTATGTGCTGTTGTAGATTTACAACATGGCTCTGGCCAAAATATATAAGTAAAGAGTGTGTCAATTACAAATTATCATAAGCAATACTATAACAGCAATTAACAACAACATTAATAAGATTTGTTACCTTAAATATAATCACTCTTTGTATAATATGGGACAAATTCTTTAATTGTATAGGTGTATTAGGAACCACAAACCCATCAAACTGGTCAACAAGATAAACTCCACCAGCCCAATGCATAGCATAAAGAAAAACATCTCTCTCTATGTAAATAAATGTATAAAATTAGCAAGCCACTACAAACATAATATTTAATAAATCATATTACTCACTGTAAACAAGAATTCCATATGTTTCTAATTTTCCTAGATTGGGATCATTTTCTGGAAACAACTTCCGAATACTGAAGAGAGCCAGTTGCATAGCTGTCAGTAAATGTTATTGTTAGTGATTTTCATAATGATAGAATCAAATTTTCGTTTCACCTTACCTTTAAGGATCTTTTTACGATCTCCTTTCATCTTTACATCATCATGATAATAAACATTTCCAACCAGGGTTGGCAAATTGACTGGTCCATTGAGAACAGGTGGATTTGGACTGGTCCATTGCCATTAATAAAATACCAAATATGGTTAAAATGGTACACTAATGGACCCAGTGGACTACCAATAGACGCACATTTGCCAACCCTGTTTCCAACAACTTTCCCAAAAGCTAACCACTATTTGTTTTACGTTTGCCTAAACGTCTTTTCAATGGACAACTTTTTTTCAATTCTTCCCTTTCTTCAATGTGACAGATTTCTTGGTGAAATTATCACTGGATCTAATTCATCGTCGTCGTCTGATTCATCTGTATTCTCAATATACGAAATAATGGCCTTGGCACTCGAAGAGATAATCTTCTAACAATGTTCATGAAAGTTGATTAGAGTTTATTATTATAGGTTAATACAGTATAACGGATTCACATGATCTGAAATAAAATGCAGATCTCTCCAAATCCAAATTATAATTAATATTAATAAAAAATTACTATTACCCGTAATCGCAAAATAAAAAAATAATATATATAAAAATCCAAAAAAAAATCAAAACAATTATTTGAAATAAATGACATAAGGCATGATGTAATGAACCAAAGTATTGATGAAATAGAAAAAATGTTGTTGATGATGATTTACTGAATGAAGAAAAAATAATTTCTATGTAGAATTTTAATGAAGAGACATCTCCTATTTCAAGACTCTTTATTGGCTAATGAAAAAGTAAACTTGTTTGTTTGAACAACAGTTTAAGGAATTTACAAATGAGGAATTGAACAGTTAAAAAATGTCAAAAAGAAAATTAAAAAATAGAATTCAATTCAACAAAACAATATATATTACTGTTTTTTAATTAATTAATATTGAATAATATTTTTTATGTAATAATAATAATAAAATTTTTTTATTCCACATGACTTAACGTAGTACTATTTTCTATACTAGATTCTCTATAACGGACAAATTTCCTGGTCCCAATGATCCGTTATAGACAGTGTGGACTGTACATATTTAATATATCGGAATTCAATGAATCCATGGATACATGCATATAAAATTCCTTATACCAATCCCATTTCGAATTTTTATTAATACAGTATAATCCTTGTTTCAATGGAGTGGCTAGACATATATATTATTAAATTTTTTTTGTACACACACATCACATGATTTGATCATAAGTTTCGATTTAGCGGATCTCTCGATTTAACGGATAAATTTTCTGGAAAAAATATCCGTTAAATCGAGATTCACTGTGTATATGAAATTTAATTAATTTTGATGATCAACCGTTGTGACCAACCCCAATATTTTATGCGTGAATTGTATTTGTTTCAAAAAAAAATTTTTTTTAATAAAACTAGAAATTGCGGTTTCTAGATGAATTTATATATAATTAAAATTAATCTTAATCTTAATACATGAATAAATGAAGATATATTTCTATATCATATTAAATAGATTAGTCATCTGGTAAAGTTAATTCAATTTGTCGAGTATCTAAAAACATTATTATTATTAATGTTGGTTAACATTAAACTTAAAAAATCAATAAAAATAATAAATGTTAATAATTACCATAATTGCTAATAATTGTTACATAATTGGAATTAGCAGGTTGAGGAAGGTTTGTAAAATTTAATAGCCTGCTGGTATAAACAGCATTTGGATGAACTGTTGTAGTAATTGTTGAAGGTTCAAATAAAATTTTATCCATTTTATCAAACTCTTTTTTTTTTGATATTTTATCTGTATATGAAGGAAGTGAAGGATCAAAATAAGTATTTAATGATATACTGTCCCAATAACTAATAATTTCTTCAAGTTCTTCAACAGTTGGACGTTTATCTGGATTAGCATCCATACACTTATATGCTAATTCAATATAAAACTTTGGAGTATTATTTGAAAATGCTGGTCTTGCTCCTGCACATATATTAATTGCAAGATCTTGTCCATGTGCAATATTATTAAAAGGTTGTAATCCTGTTGAGACCACTGACATCAATACACCAAAACTATAGATATCTGATGCCATTGTGTATGGTTTACCATTTAACACTTCGGGAGCTAAATATGGCAGTACTCCAACAACCTCATTTTTGTTTGATGTTTGATTAGCTGGAATTGATAATCCCATATCAGAAATAAATGAACCAAGACCATTTTGTAGAATATTGCCACTGTGAAGGTCATGATGAATGATTTTTTTTTTATGAATAATTTTTAAACCAATAATAACATCACTAAGGATATGCATTTTATTATACCAATTTAAAGTATTAAAATTTTTTGATAAAAAATAGTGAAGACTTCCATATTTTGCATAATTCATTACAAATAAATATTCTTTTGTTTTTGGATCTTGTGTTAATCCATAAACTGAAACTGTATGTCCATGTGCACTACTTAACAATCCATAATTTTCAAACTAAAAAAGAATAAATAGTTTCAGCAACAATAATAATAACATTTTTTTCCAAAAAAAAAACAAACAAAAATAAATTACTACCTCATTTAAAAATTCCTCTGAAATATTTTGTGAATTGTGTAATTTTTTTAATGCAACCTCCCTATCTTCACAAATTCTTCTCATTTCAGTACCATGATGAGCTTTCTCACCATTTAACCAAGTAGCTTTGTATATAGTTGCAAATCCACCTTCTCCAATCTTTTCAATATTTTTTATATCATCATAAGGAATCCATTGAAGGTGAAATGCATTATTATAACATGTTGCTGTAAGTTGTGAACTTTTAATTATTTCATCCAAAGACTCATTACCACTAGTCCATCCTTCAGTTAATAGTTTTGGATCACAAGATTGACACCATGTAAAAATAGTATTGTATCTTTTGCAAGTTGGACATGTACCAAATCTTTCCTCTCTCTCATTTGAATATTCATCATCTGAAATTTTTTCCATCTTGAATAATTTAATTTCTTTAAAATTAAAAATTGAAAAACGAAACTCTAATTGAGTCCTAAATTGGTAGACAATTTTATTAGTGTCACTTGATGTCGATCAATAATAATAAAAAATCACGTTTCAGAAATGCTATTAATCCGTGAAAAAGATATTATTGTTATTATTTCCATTTTGAATAATTAATTTAAAGACAAGATTTTAAAGGAGTTTATGTAATTATCAATTACACAAGTAATATTAATATACTAATACACATAGTTTTTTATATCGAGAAGGTTTATTATGAAACTGTTCTTGAATTTCATCCATTAAACCAAGATTTTTAACTAGTATCTGCTAAATCGAGGTCCACTAAACCGAGATTCAATTTTTCAATACAAAGTATATTTTCTTTTACAACGTTGCTGGTTTTTGCAACCCATCAATACTCATAGCCTCTAATCTTTATACTATTCTAAAACTGCACTAGAATTTTTTAATTGAGAATAAGGATCTGTAGTTTTTCTAATGAGGAGCTCAACTTATTGCAACATACACTTGTCCTTCAGCAAACACATTTTCATCAACACTCAATGTTACGTGTGGCAGGTCCAATCCTTGAGTTTATGAACAGTCATTTTACATTTTTGAAAAAGGCATGGTTGATTTCTTTAACAATAATGAATTAATTTCAATTGTTGTGTTTTTTTTGGTGGCCGGGGAAGTATTTTTGGAAAAGGCACAGTTGTTTAATAATAATATATTATTTTTGAAAAAGTTTGTATATTATTTTCCTGTTTGTTTTATTCACTTTATTCGTTTTATTCATTTCATTCATTTTATTCAAACTACTATTACTTGTTTTATTCTTTTTATTCTTTTTGTCCATTTTATTTGAATTTTTATTTGTTTTATTTGATATTTGTTCAATTACTCGAATTTTATTCGCTTTATTCAAATAAACTTTCAATGTAATCCAAATACTCAAATTCATAATTCAAAATAAACCTTATTCAAATAGAAACTTTAATGACATTCTATTTTTCCTCAATCCATATATAAAATTCACAAGTTCATTGTCCCCACCAACTTTCAAATACTCATGTTTTAAACTACAACACCTTTGAGTAATTAAATCTGTGTTTCCAGAAAAACTTGTTCAACCGGGACACACTGGTTGCTGTAATAAGTTTATTAGATTAGAAATTAATAAATTTAATTCTAAATAAGCAGAGTGCAAAAGTTAGAATACCAGAGACCATCAAGTAGTCTCTAAGCCTAAAGCTCTGAACGGTTTAGTTCAACCCGAAAATTTTGGAGCTTTAATATGGGCACAGTTCAACAAAACCAGACAAAGTGAACAGGTGTCAAATTTAATATTAAAAGAAGTGAATTTCGGCCATTTTTATTTTGCATTTCAAGGAAATTCTTTTGCATTTAACACTTCTTCAAGAACATTTTGTTCAATTTATTTTGACATTGCATAGAACATAAACATTTCATTTTTTTTAATAAAACTAGAAATTGCAGTTTCTAGATGAATTTATATATAATATAATAATTAAAATTAATCTTAATCTTAATACATGAATAAATGAAGATATATTTCTATATCATATTAAATAGATTAGTCATCTGGTAAAGTTAATTCAATTTGTCGAGTATCTAAAAACATTATTATTATTAATGTTGGTTAACATTAAACTTAAAAAATCAATAAAAATAATAAATGTTAATAATTACCATAATTGCTAATAATTGTTACATAATTGGAATTAGCAGGTTGAGGAAGGTTTGTAAAATTTAATAGCCTGCTGGTATAAACAGCATTTGGATGAACTGTTGTAGTAATTGTTGAAGGTTCAAATAAAATTTTATCCATTTTATCAAACTCTTTTTTTTTTAATATTTTATCTGTATATGAAGGATGAAAATTAGTATTAAATGTTATACTGGTCCAATAACCAATAATTTCTTCAAGTTCTTCAGCAGTTGGACGTTTATCTGGATTAGCATCCATACACTTATATGCTAATTCAATGTAAAACTTTGGAGTATTATTTGAA